AATAAGGAGCTATTGCAGGCATTTGCACGAAGGCTCTTTGTCAACAAATGGCAGAAATGAATCCTCCCCTGCTTTTATCAGCTCCACCCAGAAAACAAACTTGCCTTTGACAGCATCCAGTTAAGACACAGTCAGACAGGACAACTGTGTGGTGTTCTAACATGGGTCTGGTAGACCACAAGGAGGCGTGAAGTCCAAGACAGTAGGAGTTTTTCCTTTCATCATCATAACCTACATGTAGGCATCTTCTGTGGAAAAAGCACTTTTCATGTTGGCATTAACACAGTTATTTTCCCTGTGGGGCAGGTTAAAATTGTACGCTGCATGAGTAGGGTGGCCATCATAGAGGACAGTCCGGTTGTCCTCTATTGATACAAAACCGGATGCCTTTACATCAAACAGAGGATAGAGTAGCAGAAAACCCTATGCATGAGGCAGAGACTAGCATTTTCTTGTGTGTGTTTGTGGACCTGATTAGGCTCTCTAGGCTCTCTAGGCCATATTGGAGCACAAACTGCAATCCTAACACTGCCTACTAAAGGTCTTTTTATTTTCTCTGATTCGTCTGATACCAGCCACTCCTGAAGACAGGACACTGGAGTAGGAGGACCACTGATCTGATTCAGTATAGGGTAATATAGCTCCCAAAGCCGTAACGGCCATAGCAGAAATGTTCACATTGCAGCCCCTGTCAGATGCTAATGAGTCTGGTAAATTCTGCTAAATACCTTGTCATCAACAATCTCAGATATGTATGATTCTGGTAAAACATCTAGTTGATGACAAGGACATAAGGAGAAGGAAAAGGAGAAGGTGTAGTGCAGGGTAATTCCTCTGCTCCCATATCTCAAGATAGAGAAAACTCCACATATTTGTTTTAGTTCATTTCATCTAGAAAATCTTAGCTAGTCTCTGCTGGGCCAAACTGACTATAATTCATTGAGTTTTCTCTGTGGGCTCATTTAACTATAATGGCTGCGACAACCTAGGGCTGCATAAATTACTCTGGGCAAAGGCTTTTTCCTCAAATGCTACCATCACAATTTCTATGCAGTAGCATGTTAAGATATGAGGTTTACTACGTGGCTAACTCCTTATAGTTATAGTCCCTTGTAGACACAAATGATGAAAGTGCGAGAGTACAAAAAGACAGGTCCCTGGCCATTGCTAGCACTCAGAACTACAGGTGAATTAGTCCAGTGAGGCAGGCACAGGAACAGGGGAAGGGATATTCCTGCTCTTGCTAAAGAATTAAAACCTTCTTAAATAGAAAAATCTATTAAATATGACCTAGTAATTAACTACTCGTTGACTCTCATCTAAAACTAAACCACACAGGAGCAATGAACACACAGTCTGCCAGCTCCTCCTGCACCCACTCCAAAGCTCAGCCCCACGTGTCTGTACTGATCATCTTTCCAAAATGCCTCTGAGGACAGTGACTGTCTCTTTTTTCAGGGATTGTAGGTTATACAATAAATAGTGTTTTGTACCATGCACCCCTGCAGGCTTTGGCTGCATGAAAGAGCCACTGGCCAGCTAAGCTGGTACAACTAGCAGTGGAAGGCTAGCTAGGCTCAGATAACCTCAAAGATGCCCCCTGCCGCACCCTCAGCCCACTGGGGTGGAAACATTGCTTCTGTGTTGCCTTCTTGACTTCTGCCAATCTACCAGTAAGATGCTAAGCTCTTAAAGCTGCTCCTGCCTCCTGATCAGGTTTGCAAATCTTGCTGTCCTCCTCTCCACACCCTGCTTTCAGTAAACCTGGTTCAGAGATGCTCTTAGCCCTTCTGACAGCTGCAACAGAGGGTGAAAGAGGTTGAGATTCCCCTTTTCCTACTCCAGCATGCCCAAACCTTCTCACAGGCACCCTCCTGATTCCCCACCAAGACTTTCTGCTTTTACCTTACCCATCTTCCAAGTCCAGCTCCCTGGTCAGCTTTTGGGAAAACACTATTACAAACCCCCTTGGCCACCCTGCTCCCCATCAATCTCAGAAAGGCTGGGTTTTTAAATTGTACTTCTTGCTCTTCTTTGACCATCAGATGGTGCCATTGAGTCTTCTTTGGTACTTATATGAGGCAACCAAGGCAACAGACTACCATCAGAGCCCAATAATCACTAATGTAACTGGTCCTTCAAAATCTGCTGCTTGGCCAGACTTGGAGTTTGGATTTTAAGACTGTGATACTAATTGGTTATTAATCTCCAGAATGCGGCTGATTGAAGAGAGCTTCTCAAATAGGGAGGCATTGGCCAGCTCTCAAAATCAGAATAACAGCAAACCCCAGTGTCTCTGCTCTCATGATTTTATCATCAGCTTTGCAATATTGCCTGTTCTTCTTAAAGTGCCAGGCCCTGAAGTCATGTGAATACAGGATAATCTCAACTTTAATTTAGAGAAAATGAGCTCCTGGCCTTCAGGGTTGCAGAGAAAAGTCTGGAAACACAAGCCAAGTGTATCAGAGACCAGAAGGCAAAGAGAAAGAAACCTCCAATTTACTGCTTCTAAACAAACTCATGATTTTTAAGCATATCTCATGCTTTTGAGGGCTCTACTGGTAATTCCTGAGTGCCTGGGGCTGTCAATATAGAGTTCGATATGACCGTCCCAGGAGAAATGATCTCATTTCTTGGGTCCTTATGCTAGTGAGTTTTCCTGTGGGTGTAGTTGTACTGGTTCAGCTTCCCCAGCTGTATACCAGTGCAAAGCCTAGCATCCCTTTGTTTTGTGTTTATACATTGCCTAGAACTATGGGTTCTGGTCCATGCCCAGGGTACTGAAATAAAAATAGCAATAACAAATATAACAAAACTTCCCCATCCCTGTCTCCTAGCCCATTTTCTCTGGTCACACAATGTTCAGTTTGACTTGGAGTGCTGAATCACTGCTAGAGGGACAGTCAGTGGTGAGGTTTCTCATGATCAGTACTGATAGCACCCTCTGAAGAGGTTAATGTATTTTCCCTTTCCTTGTTAGTTTTGCCCTTTTCTGTTTTCAAAGTAACCTCCCTCCCCTCCTCCCCACACACACCAGATAAATTTATTTAAAGCAGCTGGAGATGCAGCACGTCTCTGGGTTTCCTCCTTTGCTTCTGTGCCAGCATCTTCAATAATGTCCGCACAGCTACAGGAGGAGGGAAGCAGCTTGCACCAGTGCCAGGATGGAGATGCAGCTGGTCCCTCTCCAGTTCAGGGGTATTGTGGCGTAGACCTCTTTCTTGCCAAGGTAGCCCTCAGGGCTATTCTGAGTTATGCTTATGGTTCCTATGGGGTTTTGCAGGGACACCTGCATTCCCAGGTATGCCCTGGCTAGAAAGCCCCCTCCTCTTACTTCTGGCCACCTCCTCTTTTACCTCCTCTTCCTTCTGATTTTCCCGGGAAGGCTCCTGTGCCTGGAAAGGGTGCAGAGGTGTATCTTGATCTGGAAGAGAAGTCTCTTCTGCTGGGGTGTGTTCTTCTTAGGGGAAGCCCTATAGATGTCTGATGGCCTTTCTGGACTAGTTTAGACAATACACAGAGACTGTTGTGCAGCAGGAAATGAGTCTCTGGCTTGGTAGACCTCGCTAGGCATTAGTGCTGTGCTCCCCACTCTGAAATCTGTGCACCTCACAATAAGCTGCTGCAGAATCAGGAGGAGAAGCCTGCAAGCCAAGACCAAACCAAATTAATGGTTTTTTTGAGAACTTAGCAAACTGTTGCCATAAAACGCATTATCTCTACCTTGTTGGGTGGGTGCCCAAGGACACCCTCGATGCACACTGAGGATCACTTCACCCTGCCTGGGAACCTCTCAGAGATTTCATCCTCTGACGTTGTCAGGCTGGCCAGCAGCTTTCTTAGGGGAGGTGAGGCTGCAGGGCTGTTTTTGGAAGGGGCCATACCTAAGCATCCTACTGACCAACCAGGGATGCATCCCTACTAGGGTAAAGGCAGAAGGCAGGACAGGATGGCACCCTAGAGACTAACAGGTTTAGAGAAACATAAGTTATCATTGGGTACAGCCTGCTTCATTAGAAAGGAAAGACGCCAGTGGGGAATTAAGATGCTCAGCACATTGCTGGATTGAGCCCTTTGTTTGTACTCAACCGCATTAGTTAAGTGCCACTGTTTAGAGGCATTGAGCACACACAGTTTACTCAGATGAAGTAAGATGTCCCTTAGGAAAGCTTATGCCCCTCTGAATCAGTTAGTCTCTAAGGTGGCCCCTGCCCTGCCTTCTCCCTGACTTCAGACAAAGGTGGCTAACTACATCTCATTAGTGAAAAGGGAGATCAACTCTGGATGGGGATAAGGCAGTTGTCATTTTCTTAAGTCAGCAGTTCAGGGTTAACACTAGTGTTTAACTTGACAGATAATCACCTTGTCCTTTTAGTTAGATGTGAGCTAGCACTTCTCCACCCTTCATACACATCCACATACACACCTCTGTCCCTAGCATGGACAAGCCTTTCTGTTTAAGGAGGCACACCTCCTCCAGATCCCTGGCAATTCAGGGAGCAGCCAGAAAAATGATGCAAGCTTTGTATACTAGGTGTAGGTGTCAGCCCCTCCAAGACTTGTCCTGCACTTTATGCAAGAAGAACAATTTAGAAATGATGAGACCCAGAGCTTGTGCTTCGATCTGGGAAAACTGCAAGAGACTTTCTGGCTACTGTAACATCTCTTTTCCAGACTAGGAGTCCTCTTGAGCACTTGTATGGATAGAGAGAGGAAGTTAGCTGTGTATAACACTCTTGAGAGCACAGATTGTCTTTGGTTACATGTCTTTAAGCATCTACTGCAAGTAGGGCTTTTTTCATGACTAGAGCATTAGCTACTATCACAGGTGAAATACATACATGGGCAGATCTAGAGTTTTGAAAAGCGGGGTGCATATGGTGTGGTGCATCATCACATATAAACTATAAGTTAAAAATTAACTATGAGCTTTACTAATATGCTAGGGATTTGGGCTGTATTATTCAATTTAGGATTGAAGTAAAAATAGAGATAACAGTTACCATGTGGCCTAGTGGATAAGGTGTCTGACTTCAGATCAGAAGATTAAGGGTTTGAGTCCCTTCATGGTTGAATAGTTTTATGAGGAGAGACTAAGGGACCTGGATCTCTTCAGCCTCCACAAGAGAAGGCTGAGAGGTGATCTTGTAGCCGCCTACAAATTCATTAAGGGGATGCAGCAAGGGATTGGAGATGTTCCATTCACCGGGGTGCCTTTTGGGGTAACAAGGAACAATGGTCACAAAGTGACAGAGAGCACATTTAGGCTGGATATCAGGAAAAACTTCATGGTGAGGGTGGCCAAAATTTGGAATGGGCTTCCAAGGGGGGTGGTGCTCTCCCCTACCTTGGGGCTCTTTAAGAGAAGGCTGGACAGGCATCTGGCTGGGGTCATCTGACCCCAGAACTCTTTCCTGCCCAGGCAGGGGGTTGGGCTCGGTCTGTTCAGGTCCCTTCTGACCCTAGCAACTATGAATCTATAACTTAATTGGAATGAGTTCAAACAGTGGCAATGTGTAGCGGGGGCATGGGGGTGCACATGCACCCCCTGAGAGCACTGGTGCACCCCTTGACCGACCGCGCTTGCCACTTAGGCAATGAGTGGGGGGGCAGGCAGGAGTGCCAGTGCCCCCCCTGCAAGTGCCGTCCGATTGCTGCAGCCACTCCCAGAAGTGATCGGCCATCACAGAATCGGCTGCGGGGGTCCTTCTGGGCAGTGAGATTGGCCGTGGAGGGACCACCCCCAGTCTACAGGATCGGCCAGTGGGACTGGTCACAGGGGGTCACATGCCTTGCCCAACTAAGGCGGCATCAGTTGCCCATGAGTTCAAACCAATCTTCAGGGCTGTGAAATAGGAGCTTCATCAGCAGAAGCAGTTAACAGACAGCAGAACTGCAGAACAAAGGGTAGCTTGACTGGTGGAACATCAAGACCATGAAACAGAAGAGAGGATTTTTAATACCTGTGGAGTGAAGAATTTAGGAGGGATATGAAATCAAGTAACTCTCTCAGCATTGCCTGAAACTTTGGGTGGACAAGAAATTAAAGGGGGGTGGGATGTGGGGGGGAGGTGCAATTGCACCAATGCTCCCCCCCAGTTCTGCTCCTGAATACATCATCATCATAATAATGATTGTTGTTATTGTTGTTATTTCCTAATATGGCTTTAGGTTTTATTGCCCCAAAGGAAATTTAAGTAATAAATATAGCAGTGTGAGAGAACAGAGGGGAGAGAGGGTGAGAGAAAGAGAAAGAGAGGAATAATTGAATTTAGCCAGGGATAAGAATGGCAGCTGAGCAGGGCTGGATAAGTTCCAAGCACAGTGGACTCCTGTTTCAATTTCACAGCATAATTTCTGTCTGTCCTTAAAATAACTTCTCTTCTCAGAGACCCTCTGGTGTTACAGTAGCCCAAGTAATGACCTGTGTTCCTCCCTCCCCACCCCTCACCCCCCACCCCGTCCTCAGTACTAGGTTATTTTGGGAGCTATTTTTGGTGTCACACGCGTTGCAGCCAGGCCCAGCACTTCCAGCCCACATGGCCAGGAGGCTGTAAATGGAAGGGGGTTGGCTGCAAAGTCAAACCCAGCACTCAGTGAAGAAGGGGACAGAGAGTTGGAGCAGGGGGAGCTAATTGTTCTGATCCCTGCCAACAAAAGGCTGCTTCCCTGAGCCAGTCGGCAGGGATGGGACCCTCTTTATTGTCTGGGCTAATTGCTCATGTGCGATGTATTTATAGAAGAAACTGTTTGTGCCGAGGCTGCAGACAAACAGGCTCCTGTTCTGCCAGGCTTTCTTTGTAATGGGTGGGGGCTGGGAATGCTTTAGTGCTGTCATGGGAAGCCTCATTTTCTACCAGCAGGTCCAATCCTGCACGGTGTGTAATGGCTGCTGGGAGGTCCTGAGTCCCCTCTATTCCCAGTGACTCCAGCGGTAATGAAGGTGCCCAGTCTGTTCCCGGATCAAGCCCTTTGTTTGTACTCTACCACATGAGCTAAGTGCTGCTGTTTTGGAGGCGTTGAGCACACACAGCTTTTGTTGACTCACTTGGCACCCTGGGCATTCAGCATGTCTGTAAACCAGGCCCTGGGACTAGATTCTGACAAAGGGAAGGTGAATCACACATATCCTCTTGTGGCTTGCATATGCAGGGCTTTCTCCATTTGGCAGAGCAGTCTGTGCACACGTGTGCATAGGAGGAGAGGACTGAGCCTAGCTAGTGACACCAATTTGTGCTGTTCTCTCTGTGGGGGAGGCTCAAAAGATTTGGTATGGAGTCTCAGACAGTAAAGATGATGTATAAGGAGCCCTGTGGGTGTGACGGGCTGTCCCCAGGAGCCATTCATCCCTATGGCTTAGTGATGCCATTACACAGTGAATGGGGTGTCTTTGTGGATGGTAGTACTGACTGAGTAGAAGGCTTTTGCTCTGCGACTTAGTATGTTTCCCTTTTCAAGAACATGGCTTAAGGGGACTGTGCTGAAGGTTGTGGTTCCAGGGTCAATACAGGGAAGCTAGTCCATGGGTTAAATGACTTAACTGTACAGATGTACAGCATCTGACTATACTGATCCAGTTATGGGATGGCCAACTGCTATGGGGAAATTCCAGAAAGCTGTTCTTGCCTTTGCAAATGTTCTCTATGCCCAGTCTAGCTAAAAGTTCCTAGGACTCCACAAGAGAGAAAAATTAAAAATACTTGAGCAGATTGTTTAGAGACCTGAAGTTTCTTCAAAGCCAAAGCCTTGAGAAGTCTTTTTGGCTTTTTGGTTTTTCCCCCTACATGGGAAAAGGATGAGGCTTTAGTGAAGTAATGCAAACAATTTATGGAAAAAATCCAGGGTCTCCATCATTCTATGAACCAGTAAGGAAGGGAAAATTGTAGGTCTAGCTCCAGGTGTGAGGCATGTTGTTTGATGCTTCACATCTCAGTCTCACTAAGAGGGTGTCCTGTTTTTTATTCAAAGAGGCAGCCCCTGTTTCTCATCTTATGTCTTTCTTCCTTCCCTGGCAGTCATGACAGGTAAAAGGCATGTATCTGATGGCTGCTGCTTGAGGCCAATGCAGCACCAACCACAGAAGTTTACACAGCATCATTTTTACTGTAGCAATGGAGGAGAGTGGTAAGAAGAAAATCCAAGCTAGAGCGGGGAGAAATGCTTCCTGGAAATAATTTGCTTGTGGGGACTGGGGTTGCAGCATGGAGTTGGAAGTATTCTTGGGAAGGCAAGTGGGAGCTGAGCCCCTGTCAGCACATGGTCCCAGACCCCTGATCCAGGGGTTAAGGGCCCAAGCATTAGCTCAGCTCTCCACTAGGCCACAGCTCATGAAGGAAGGCAGAGTGGCAAAGAAAGGGACCCTGCCAAGGAAAGGCTTTCTACCACTGGCTCCTGATTGGCCTAGGGCTCCCAGCCACTGTTTGGATCCTCTTGCCTATATATGTTTTCCTGTTTTGTTGGGAAGCTGTCTGGACAATAAGACTTCTGCTTTCTGTGGACTGCCCTGATTCCAGATCTGACCACCCATTGCCGACCTTGCTTGGACTTCAACTTTTGCCTCACGTCTTGGTTTGTTGGAACTTGACTCTCACAGGCACGACCTGGCTGGATCCCTGACCTTGCTCTGTCTCCTGTTTAAGCCCTGGCTCAGACTCTGGCTTTGACTTTGGCTATCCCTTGGACCTTGGCTAATGGCTTGTGCAAACCACCAGCCAGACTGCCTATACCTCGGTACGTGACACTTCTTCCTGGTGGTACTGAGTAGTATACTGGATTTCTACTAAAGCTGATGGGAGTTGTGAGGGACCTTTAGCACCTCATGGATTCAAACTGTGGTGCAGTTCCTCTCCTAGTAAGTGTATGTCAACTAGTGCTTGATACAAGCAACATGCCTGAGAAGTTTTAGATTTATTGTCCTATGGCAATCCTGTATCTAAGATATTTTACTGTCATTGGCAGTGATCAATATTTATAACCACTTATGATACTTTTTCTTTTTTAAATCAAATGTTCCAGCAGGAAAATATGTTGTTATTAATACCCAGGATGATTAATAATCACATTCTGAGCTGCAGACAGGCCCACGCTGCAAGCCACATGCACTTTCTTTTTTCTAATGGCTATGCAGGAATTTGAACTGTAACATGTATAATACACGCAGACAAAGGCGTTTTGTCCTAGGGAAGGAATATGTGGATGTTGTTGACTTAAAGAGCCAGTGCCACATTCAGGAGAATTTTACTGAGTGAATCTACCTACCAAAATGCCATAACTTTCTGCTAAATGTTGATTTCCTTTCCCTGCTGAAGAGAAGGTTCTGAGCTGGTATAAAATGATATAATTTTATATATTTCAAGAGGACCAAAGTGATTTTCATCAGTTGAAGATCTAACTCAGAGTGCAGTGGTAACTGGAGGAAATTAAGATACAAGAAAAATATTTCCAGTGAGACATTTAGCAGTGGGACACTCTGTCAGGGGCTGGTGGGGAGAAAGTAGCAAATGTCATCACCTGGGACAACTCAGACTAATCTGGACAACATGCTACTAAGCGATCAGTAGTCAGGCACCCTGCCTTGATCAGCCGACGACCTACTATGGGTGGATAATTTGACATTACCCGGTGGGAAAAGTGGAGTGAACATGTGATGATAGCCTTCTAGCAGTTTAGGTCAGCTTACCTTGGGATAAAATTAACCTTCGGAAAGTAAAAAATAAGTATGCCCTGCACAATCTACTAGCTTGTGAACAACTTGTTTGTCCTTTCTTCTGGCTGCTGTCCTACCAAATGTTACCTCTCTATTTTATCACCTACCCCACAGATGAGAGGGAATGGGCTGAGGTGGGCTTTCTTCTTCCCTTCTCTCTCTGGAAGGGTGAGAGACCCAGTTAGGAAGCACATTTTCTTCCCATGGTGTAGTGGTCATCCTGGTTTGTTGTGTAGTCTTCCAGCTCCATGACCCATGCCTGACAGTAAGGCATCTTACCTTCCACACCCAACCTTTTTGTGCCACTTCTTGTTTTTTGGATAGGCAGGAATTAGCCTCAGGCATTCATGTTGCACTCAGGTGAAAA